AGCATTACATCCGAATTCCTTACCAAATTTGAAATAAAAATAAAATATGGAAAACAAATACTAATAATAAAAAGAAATAAAAATAAAAAGAGAATTAAATTTCATGAGTGTGCGAGCATGTTTTTGACACCGCCATCTTTGGTGATTTTTCATTTTGTTTTGGCATAGCTAAATACCCTGAAAATTTACAGATGTGTACTTCACATAATACAAAGCCCACTAAAAAAGTTTCAAATAATAATAAAATTGTTTAGACCCCGAACTAAAGTAAAAACAAAAAGTAAAAAGTGAAAAAATATGTGGGCGAGCACGTTTTGACACCGCCATATTTGGCAATTTTTAATTCTTATTTGGCTTAGCCAAATGACTTCAGAATTTACAGGCATGTACGTCACGTCATAGAGAACTCAGGAAAAACAATTCAGAAAAAAATAATTATGTTTAGGCCCCGAAATAATTTTTGGCGGGGCCCGAACGCCATCGGGTTGGGACCCCGTACGAGACCCCGAACGCCCGCACGTACGGAGGTCTGCCCGGGGACCTCCGTACGTACGGGCTGGTGACCCTGTATATAGGGTTGTAGGGCTTGAAAAACACTATAATCCTATGTTTTTTTTATTTTGGAATCCAACTTCGTTTAAGATTTTTAAAAAATAAAAAACGAAATCTGATTTAAACAAATTATATATATATAAAAAATGCAGGATTTTTGTTTTTCCCTTTTTTATCATGAGGGATATGGTCGCTAAGTTGTCCTGTGTGTTTTTTAAAAATGTTTTTCGGGTTTGAAGAAATATTGGGTGTTTAAAAAAAATTAAGATTGATTGATTGATTGATTAGGAAAAAAAAAAATTGAACGCGCTAGTTTGTGTGTGTGTGTGTACGCGTGTGTGTCTGTGCATGTATATGTGTGTGTGTGTGTGTGTGTGTGTGTGTGTGTGTGTGTGTGTGTGTGTGTGTGTGTGTGTGTCTGTAATGTCGTGGGTGTGTAAAACACGGCCCCATTCAATGGGGAACCAGACCATCCATCTTTTCAAACGTAGCGTCGCACGAGGTTAGTGGCAGGCTTAACATAGCATGCGTTAAAAAAATAATTTTACTATGGTCATCAACTCCAGAAGAGGATGCATGAAGGATTAATCAGAGGGAAGCAAATTAGAGGCTAGGCTGATGTTAGAGATGGTTGTCGGAGACAGCCATAGGGGGGGTGCACGCCCTGAAGCGCGCTTTTCGTTGCCTAGCACCCATAGCAACTCATCAGAGGGTCAGGTTATGGTCTCCCATTAGACTATCTCATAGAAAGGTATAGAGCTAGGGTTTACAAAGTTACTGACACTCGAAGGTAGTTATTGTCTTCAAGTTACCTGAAGGTGGAACGTTTGAGAGGATGTGGCATCCCCGGGTGAGGCCATCGGCACTTGACTATCTTGTAGAAACAACTCCTGCAGCAGTTAGCGCTCGCGACACTTCTGCTTGAGTGTGTGTTAGGTGCAAGATCACCCACGTTCAGTTATGGAGTGTCTGTTCGTGTGCACGAGTATGAAGAAGCTCCCGTGTCTTGGTGGAGAGGGGAATGAGATGGGATAGATACAGATTGTGTGCCTTGCATGCGCAATAAGCAACAAAGGAAAGTCCCGTATCGTCGGTGTGGTTGCATGAAGTGCTGCAGTTGATAGTGATGTAGGCTAGCTCCATTGTATATAGTTGCGTGAGGACGCATCGTGGAAGTAAGGCGATGGAAGGGGTAGTAAGGAAGGCGAATTTTGGGTCTGCTTTTGGGTGGGGTTTGCTTTGATTTTTTAGAGGGAAGAAGGGCTTCTTGTCATGCAAGGTGGAGGGAAGGAACAGGTTGGCTTGCTTTTGCTGAACTGACGCTGTTGGTTTGTCGGTGCAAGGCTGCGAGCACTAGGATCACATTGGATCATACTGGGTCACGACACACTCACCGGGGGATGCAGAGTCATACATGAACCAACATTCTGTTGGCTAACTGCTAATGGTGAATACCATACGAACAGGATGGTGGCAGGATCAGTTCCCGAATTGGTCGCCGGGCCTAAAAACCTGCCTTTCTGTGCACCTCTTCGTCTTTTCTCTTACGAAAAAAAATAAATAAATAAATAAATAAACGTTACTTTTAAACAAATGAATTCAACACAAAGGATTAATCAGGGGATTCTTGGGAAGTTTCCTACTACTAGCATAGTAGGCGTAGTTCCAGGCAACATAGGTCAGGGAATCCTTGGTAGATTTCCTATTGACACTACATTAGACACGGTGGATCAGGGAATTCTTGGGAGATTTCCTGTTGACACTACTTTAGATACAGTTTCTCATAATAATCATCGACTCTTCTCTGCTTTTTCCTCTCAGCCTCATCTACACGCTGATTCCACACGTCGACTTGATTGGATTCGACACCTTCGCTGGAATACTTACCTCTACTCTGCAGGTACTTGGCGCAAGAGGCAGTTGCAACAACTTAACACGGCGATTCAAACAGAGCGTTTTGAATTGCAGTGGAGAGGCATTGATCAACAGGCATTGCAATCAGGTATGGACCCTCTCTGTGTCCGAGGAGTGATCTATGCCATCGTTCATATCCCCTCTAGGGGTCTTTACATAGGTCAGACTATGTACTCTTCGCATCAACGTTTGCAGGAGCATTGGCATGTTCGTCGTCCTGCTGCGGAGTTCCGGCGTCGCCGCCTCTACAGTGTCATGTCTTGTCAAAACCCCTTCAATTTTGTAGTCTGGCCCTTGGAATGTATTGACCCGACCCTTTACCATACACCGCAGGGTCTTCTTGACCGTAACCTTTTTCGACGGGCAGCTACGACACGGGAAGCCTATTGGGTACGCCGGTTGCGAACTCTTCATCCAGCTGGTCTCAACGCTGTCCTGCCGCTTGCTCGCCTGCCTGCAAGAAGACGACAACGTCGCCCTCAACGATGGACACAGACATGCCCTCGTCCGTCAGACCATCAACAGCCCCAACCCATTGATTTGCGTCCAGGCCCCGACTTTCAAGTCCGGTCTGCATTGCACAATCTTCTCTCGCGGGCTGCTGCTGGCAAATTCGTAACAGATGGAATTTGTCATCCAGCGAGCAACGCCAGTTTGGCGTGCCCGCTTGCTGCAGTGGTTGAGCAATAATATCTCCAATGCAGATATGACTGCACATATCCGGCAGCTTGAATGCCTGATTCGGAAGTATCAACATGTCCGCCAACGATACACAACCCAGTCTCGAGATGCCTTCCTTGATCATATTAAAGTTGTGCACATGCACGAGGTGTCTCAGGTAACGGGCCTGCGACAAGCCCTACATGCACCCCAGGTGCTCCACTTGCACCTTGACCCTGATGCCGCAACACACCTGCGTTCTGTGATAAGTTGTTGCCGCCAACTCACGTCCAATTCTCTAATTTCACGGAAGTTGCACTCAGCGTGACACCTAGGATCTATCTGCCTGACCCCTCAGATTGTCAATGTCGAAAAGTGTTTCTTGATTGCTCACACTTAGTCGACGGCCATGTTGTTACAACCGATTGCGACATCATTCCTGGTGATCGGCTCCGTGACTTGTTCCATGAAGGCTCGAAGTATCGTCTTAATGGACAAATCACTGATGTGCTTCAGGCTGTTAGAGTCGGCCTTGACGAGTATATTGCTAAATACCTGAGGTCGGTCTTCGAGCAGCTTCGACTGGCCGCTCTGAACAAATTGTAGCAATGGCGCTCAGCCGTTCTCACACGTTGCCAAAGCAACATCTCATCCCCCCACACTACTACACGACAACCACACTCCCTTCACTCAGTGCACAGGGCTTTGAGACACCTTCAACAAAACTTTGCTATTGTTCATGACGACAAGACCTCACACAACTTAACAATCTGTTGTAAAAATTGGTACCTGTCTCATCTATCTGCTCATTTGGACAACCCTACCTATGATGTGCCTCTTGACTCTGTCGCAGATATTCTCGAACACCACGCGCTTTGGAATCATCGGTGGGGATATACACACACAGACACGCTGCCGTATCTGTACTATGCACTTAAAGCGCATAAATTGCCCCCTGGGCTTCACAGTATTGTCGGCGTCACAGAGCGGAACAATCTCTCTCTGCCGCAGCGATCTCGATCAATAGCGCCATCTGTTCATGCAGTCCACCATCGACCTCCCCACAAAACCCTTGGCCAGCACTACCGTCGCTTCTGCCCGCCTCAGCGTTGCATTACAAGGAGTCAATGAGACTCTCCGTGAGAAGGATAATTTGTTGTATCAGCAAAGTGGTGTGAGACGGTGCTGGATCGTGCAAAGCGCTGAGGAGGTGATGCTTGATCTCAAACGTAATTCATCTTCTCTTCGTGAGCGTGCTCCTCGCACTGTTGATTTCACAACTATGTATACCAATCTTCCTCATGACCGTATTTGTCATAATGTATCAAAAGCAGTTGAGGAAGCCTATACATATGCCTTACAACAACACACACAGGGGCGCACACATTCTCCTAACCTTAACATGATTGTTAAAGGGCCCCGTCAAGGGGAGTGGACGGTTGATACCGGACCCAACACCTTGACCGTTTCCCAAATTCTTGAACATCTCCATTTTATTGTCACAAACACGTATCTTTATGCAGCGGATGGCACCTTGCGACATCAGCTGATTGGCATCCCGATGGGGACTAATTCTGGTCCGGAGATAGCTAATTTGACGTTGTATTGGGATGAGGCTCGGTTTGTTGACGACCTCCAACAGCGTGATCTTCGCGCAGCTCAACGGTATGCGTTCACATACCGCTTGATCGATGATGTTCTCTCATGGGGACATCTGCCACCACCGTCAGAGCATTATGACCTTGAATGGAAGGAGACCCAGCGCCTGATGGCTCTTGCACATTCTTGGGTGCACATCTCCAAGTCCGCCCTGACGGTTCCCTACGTATGAGTGTCTTTGACAAAGCAGCTGAATGGAATTTCCCTGTTATTCGCTATCCTAGTGCTACGTCTAATATCCCTGCACACCAGCCGGCGGAAGTGTTTACAGGCCAGCTTACTAGGTTTGAGTATGTCTGCAACAATTGGTATGACTTCAAAACTGCAGCAGCGATGCTCACACGCCGCATGCTTTTTCGCGGACACTCTCCAACAACGCTTGCGAAAGGATTGACTTCCTATATTCGTAAACGTCAACACAGGTACCCTGCCCACGTGACCCGCCTCTCCAGGTGGTTCCGCAGCATGCTTCGATGGTCTATTCATCACCCGCTTTCTCGGGTGTCTACACACTGTCCTCGGACTACGCCTGTCACAGCCCCTTCTTCATTACCGACGCCTGTCACACCTATCACAGCCTCTTCTTCATTACCTGCATCTGCTGCACCTGCGTCCTCATCAGTCGTAATGACCCCTTCCATGCCGTTTGTGACCCTGGCTACCCCTTTTCGGTTCGCAGCCTCTTCCCCATCGGCCTTGGTTGCTTCTACGATTGATTCCGCGAGAGCAACTCGACCCGCAGTTGCTGTGTCGCCCTTGGTCTCGGTGTGTTCCTCCATGGCATCCGTGGCCACCATGGATGCTATGTCGCCCTTGGTCTTGGTGTGTTCCTCCGTGGCATCCGTGGCCACCACAACTGCTGTGCTGCCCTCGGTCTTGGTGTGCTCCTCCATGGCATCTGTGGCCATGCCTGCATTACCACCTGCAGAGTCCCCTCTTCGGGTCTCACCTGCGACTGCCCCTTTTGTGTCCGCTTCAGCCACTTCACCACCCCTGACTTCATCCTTCCCATCTTCACCGCCTTTACTTCCCCTGGATTATCTCCGTCTGTTACCCACCTCCGACTACTGTACCGCCGCTGTCTTCACCACTCCTACCTCCCCTGGTTTTGTTTCCATCCGCTACCCCTCTTCCTAATCCACAAACCACCTCGTCCACACAGACTCCATCATCATGTTCTTCCCCTGCAGAAAACCCACTTCGCCGTCCTAGACGTCGGTTTGGACCTACTTTCCAACCTCACCTTACTCCCCTTTCCTCCATCTCTATTCTTGGACGAAGAAGAACCCGTTCATTCTCCCCACCACGGCCCTCCCCAACATCCCGTCCCCGTTTTTGCCGCCCCAAGCGTCCTTACCATGCTTGCAACGCTCTTCGACTGCAGATCTTTCTGCAATGCGGCTAACACAAAATAGGAGGGATGATGGCGAGGGACCGTCCGAGGATGAACTTGGCAAGGGGCCTGTAAGAGATTCTGTAGAAAATACCCCTGACCGGCCTCCACCGAATCTGTGTGGCCTCGCTGCTACTAACATCTGCCTACAAGCCTATCATCGGGAACCATATACTCACTCTGATTTTTTGGCCATTGCTTCCACTCTTGATGCTCAGAAACATGAGTCATATGGCGATAACCCGTCTTTGCACCCCCCACAGGATAGTAATTACACTTGACATGGGGGATTCAATGTCTCGATTTTGGAGACTGCTTTGATAAGGCGCCGGCTTGATGTGCAGCGTGCCCCTTCGGGTGGCGACCCGGACCACTGCTCGCGCGTTTGTGCCTATATTCTACATACTCGTGGCCACTACACCGCTCTTGTACGTGCCTCTGGTTCTTAGGAAGTATGGAATGGCGGTGCTATGGTGCAAACAATTACTGCCATCTCTGATCTCGTGCGTCATTACCCTAACCTGCAACTGTTCCAGGTCATTGACCCTATGGGTACCTCCTGTACTTCCCTGCCCGCCTCTACGCCTATCTCTGTGCCTGCCTCCGTGCCTGTCTCTGTGCCTGCCTCTGTACCTGTCTCTGTGCCTGTTTCTGTGCCGGTTTCTGTGCCTATTTCGGTGTCTGTCTCCTTCCACATTACTGACTCCATCAGTACCATATGTACTTCCGTCCCCGCCTCTACAACTACCTCTATGCCTGCCTCCACACCTGTCTCCATGCCCGTTTGTGTGTCTGTCTCCGTGCCTACCTCCACGTATGTCACTGTGCCTGCTTTAGTCTTTATTCCCCCACATACTGCACAAACAACTTGTGACATCCTTCTTTGTGAGATCACTGACACAGTTACACTTGGTTGTGGAAAACATCGACTTTGTCGACATCACTACAACCATATAATTGTTCGGGCCCGCCATCGGCAGGGATGCCACCTGTATCCGGATTGTGAACATCCTCTACATCCAGATGCAGTATGTCCCATCTGTGCCTGCGGGTGCTATAGTGAATGTGCACTTAACTGTGATGGTGAACGCCCCACAATCGTTATGGCCTGCAGCTGGCATGCCCTGTGTCGTGCATGCTTCAGAGGTATGGTTAATGCTAGCCGCCCTGACTCCTGCTGTGACGAAGTTGCTTACCTGAATGGTTTTCGTCCTATGGATCAGCGGGAGGGTTGCTACCATCGCCCGCATCCTTATGACAGTTGTCCTATTTGTCGTGGGGGTCTTACGTAGACGTACCTTGCACCTTGACAAAAATGTGCAGGAGCGCTGAAAAGAGTGTACAAGAATGTGCAAAAGTGGGAAACCCTTCACTAGAACTGCAAAACAGTGAAGAATGCTGCAGTAAAAGAAGAATATAAGTCTGTGTCATTTTACTTTGTTTGTACCCTGCACCCTAACACCCTAACACCCTAAAAAGAAAAGTCCAAAGGGTGAAAATGAGATTGTAAAATGAAGAAGGAAGTGCAGGTGCGCTGAAAACCGAACGTGGTAGACTCTTCACCAAAACTGCAAGAAAGAAGAATGCAGTAAAAGAAAGAAAGATGTTTGTGTCAATGTTCTCCCCC